TTGCATAGTATTCCATTGTGTGTATGTACCATAGTTTGGTTATCCATTTCTCAGTTGATGGACACCTAGGTGGTTTCCCTCTTTTGGCTTTTGTAAATAGTGCTGCGATGAACATGGGTGTGCATATATCTGTTCTTGTCATGGCTCTCACTTCTTTAGGGTATATACCTAGTAATGGAATGGCTAGGTCGAATGGTATTTCTAATTCCAATTTTTGAAGGAATCACCATACTGCTTTCCACGATGGTTGTACCATTTTACAGTCCCACCAGCAGTGTGTGAGAGTCCCAATCGCTCCACATCATTGCCAGCATTTGTTATTTTCTGTCTTGTTGAACTTAACTGCTAGTACTGGAGCAAGATGGTATCTCATTGTTGTTTTGATTTGCCTCTCTCTAATAGCTAATGATGGTGAGCATTTCTTCATATGTTTGTTGTTGTTGTTGTTGTTGTTGTGTGCCGTCGAGTCAGCCCTGACTCATAGCGACCCCTCCTTGGGTTTCCGAGGCAGTATCACTACGGAAGTAGGATTGCCCAACCTTCCTTCCGAGGAGTGCTGGTGGGTTGGCCGCTTGAATATCCTCCTTGGTGAAGTGTCTCTTCATGTCTTCTACCTATTTTTTAATTGGATTGTTTGTCTTTTTGTTATTGAAGTGTTGGAGTTTTCTATAAATTCTAGAGATAAGTCCCTTGTCAGATACGTTATTACCAAATATTTTTTTTCCCAATCTGTAGGTTCTCTTTTGATTCTTTTGGAGAAGTCTTTGGAAGCAGATAAAAATTTAATTTTGAGAAGGTCTTAATCATCTGGTTTCTCTTCTGCTGTTTGTGCATTTTGAGTTATGCTTGAGAGTCTATTTATGCCATATGTTATGGCCCCTAAATTTGCCCCTAGATTTTTCTTTAGGAACTCTATAGTTTTAGGTTTCACCTTTAAGTCTTTGATCCATCTGGAGTTCGTTTTTGTGTATGGTGTGAGATACAGATCTTGTTTCATTTTTTTGCAAATGGATCTCCAGTTTTGCCAGCACCATTTATTAAACAAACATTCTCTTCTCTACTTAATGGATTTTGGCCTTTGTCAAAGATCAGCTGACTATAGGTCGATGGATCTCTTTCTGGTTTCTCAGTTCTATTCTATTAGTCTATGTATCTGTCATGAAACCAATACCAGGCAGTTTTGACTACTGTGGCTGTATAGTAGGTTTTGAGATCCGGCAATGTGAGACCTCCTCCTTTGTTTTTCTTCTTCGATAGTGCTTTGCTTATCCGAGGTCTCTTTCCTTTCCATATAAAGTTAGTGATTGGCTTTTCCGTATCCCTAAAGAATGTTGATGGGATCTGGATT